GAGAGAGAGAGAGAGAGAGAGAGAGAGAGAGAGAGAGAGAGAGAGAGAGAGAGAGAGAGAGAGAGAGAGAGAGAGAGAGAGAGAAAAGAGAGGGAAAACCGGGCGGAGAGGAGGCGGGAAGGAGAGGTCTGAAGGGCTGGAGAGCAGGGTCATGTCAGGAGGCGGGAAAAGGGACCCGTAGCCGAAGATACAAGAGCGGGAAGCGGTGGATTGGAAAGTCCATCCTGTGACGACGTAGTAGGATCTGAGTTGAGTACAGATGGCAGGATAAAGGTGGGAAGCGTGGCATGGAGCGAAAGAGAAGACGAGAAAGTCACGCCATCATTTCACATATCTTGCAGGAAGTCGGGGCCCAAGTGTCCGCAATCGAAGTCAGGGAGATATGCTGAGCAGATCTCGAAACCCACCGAAGATCCGAGGAAGAGTCGGGCCGATATGGAAGTTTACCGTTGTTGTCGTTTCAGTAAACACCGTTTCTGTCTGTCGGAAGTGAAAAAACGTGCCCCAAGCTCCTCGAGCGTCCTCCTAGTCCTACATCCGCGAACCCCTCAAATAAAAACTTCACCCACCCTTTCCAACAATTAGAATTTTTTTTCGAAAAATGTCCTGCAGCTTTAAGAAAAATATAATTGGGAGGCCTATTATTGGAGGATGCTCTTTTTTTTTTTTTTTTTTTTTTTTGTTTGTTTGTTTGAGAACAATCGATTATATTGGATGGAGAGAGGAAGTCCATAACACTGTCATCAACTTCGTTGGCATGCTGCCACGCTACCACTCGATAGTTGTCGGCATTTCCACCGCCTCCCTCCAGACAGCAAGCTATCATTCAAACAGGCAGGCCAATTTCCCAGCCAAATCACGTACCGAGTCAACAACCTGTCCAGCCGATATCAACCAAATCATACCTCGACGTCTAGACGACAAAAGTATATCCAACCTTGATAAGGTTCTCAAAATGATTAACCTACTTATATGTCACACTCTTCGATGTGATTTAGGGCCTGATCCCACTTCTTATAGGCGAGGCACTTTTCGGTAAATTTTGGGATCCCACCTTCCTTTCTTTTTTCCCTGATGTGCAGGCCGTTGGATCCTCGAGGCACCACAAGATAGTGCCGCTCCTTTAGGAAAAGTCCCGCAGAAGCAGGGCGTGCGGGATCCGATTTTTATAACACGGAGCGAGCGGGATGGACCCTGGAAAACCGGTTGTTTTAGCTTTCTTCCCAAAAAGACAAGAGGTGGGATCAGCCCCTTATTTCCTCTTCTTGGTCGCACTTTTTCACCCATTCTCTCGCTGATCAGGGTGATACTACTATTGCCATCTACCTATATTCTACGTCCTGAATTTCCGTTGTACTCTTAACTAGTCCCACACGCGAAACATTCTACATTCATCGCCTTCAATAATAGGTCTCGAGCAGATGTTTTTCTTTATTAAAAAAAAAAAAAAAAAGAACACAACACTTGTGCCAGAGGGCCCACTTTTTTTGTTTTTGTTTTTTAAATTAATAATTTAGGGCCCACAATATTGCTTTGCGACAGGAATTCTTGTGTTTCAATTTAGATTTGTTTTCTCAGCCTAAGCCAGGTAATGCCCCCCGGACATTTGTATATGGGACGCTGGGCCCGGTTCCCAGCATGTGCTGCTCCCCACGAATAGATTGGAGCTTGTTTCCGCCCCTTCATGCTTGCTGCGCTGTGGTACTAAGGCGCAATTCATATGCTGGGCCGTCGCACCTTCCAGTATCTCAAGAGGGCAATTCATGCGTACTTGTGGTCCAATAACAAAAAAAGCCGATAACTCCATCTGCAGTGTTGCATGGGCCAAACTAACACAGCCAAGAAGGACGGGAGGGACAGCCATGGCAGTTGGTCACGCAGGCGCATATGGCTCACACACATTTTGCAGACCATCCCTGAGATGGCAACACTGAGTATCCTCAGCGCAAGTTGATCGGCCATGTATGGAGGAATACGGTCTGGTCTGCCATTCTCAAGCTGTGGAAGAAAATCCGGCTGCCGAATCAACTGCCTACCACTGCGGGGTCTATAACCTTTTTTTTTTTTTTTTTTTTTTTTTTGGAAGCATGCTCCAATCTATTCGTGGGGAGCAGCACGTGCTGGGAACCGGGCCCAGCGTCCCATTCAAGATCATATTGAGAAATTGAGAAATTTATGGAGAAATCCTTGAGATACCGGGGCCATTACCTGGCTTCCCCAAGCGCGGATCAAAGGAGCATTCAGAATGAAAAAACCACCTGCCTTAGTGCCTTTCAGCAGCCCAACCCTACCTGCCTCACCCCTGTATCCCGATGCCCAATCTCTACCAGGCCTCATGCCCCCAGCTGCTAGGTTACAGAGTGGCACGACCCACCCCAGAAACTCCCCACCTGCTAGGCCACAGGGCAAAGAGACCCGCCCCGGCCTGCGGGGTCTATAACCAACTGCTGTTTGAAAACAGATTCATACGTGACTGCAATGGGGACCCCTTCCCATGGACCAGCAAGCTGGGTGCATTTGGCAAGCAGTGGGCCGAGCATGACAACTTCAAAATCGGGCACCTGTGGGATGAGGAGCGCAAGGACTGGTGCGCCGATGAGGATGTCCTAACAGCACTAACAGGGCAGGTGAGGAGGGCACAACGGATAACCCAACTCAAGGAAGGCATCCCGCCCCAGTGGCTTGAACTAATGAGAACACATGAGCTACAGCGGGGGGAGTGGGTTAAGATGAAGGGGATAGAACACCCGGATGACATTGTGATATTCCAAGCGGAGGCACACGGGGGGGACCAGTTGGATGTATCAGAATGGAGAGTTTAGACAGGGATCGGGGAGGCAGATCCTCTCCAACATGGCGGACACGGTGGGGTTGTTCAGAGTCGGGCGGAGAGGGAGCGACCAGTATCGACCATACCGACTGAGCAACAGGCAGCGGGACCTTGTCCTGGACCTGCAGGGATGGACCTGGACGACCCCGAACCAGAATAAGAAGGCGATCCCGCTCCACAAGGGGACAATGAAGAGCATATATGCCTCCCTGTTACCAAAGGTGGACATCTGCGACAAGCTTAGGAACAGATGAGCCAAGGGAGCGTGAGTCCTAGATACCCAAATCCAGAGATGGACCCAACATAAGTGGAGAGAGGCATGCGCCTTGCTGGCGGCATTGCCCGACCAGAAGCAGGCAAGCCGTTTGTGGAAGATATACGACCTTGCACTCCCGACAAGGCAATGCCAGGCCCTGCGGCGGTCAAAGCATTCTGGACCTGGTGGACCCAGGAAGTGGCAGACAATGTGCCCCTGCGAGCAACCGAGGAGGACACAACAGCAATCCTCCTGGGCCTGCTGATGGAGGTCGACAGGACCAGAAAGGAGGAGCAACTATCAAGGGAGATGTCGCGGACAACTGTGTCGTGGGCAATATGGACATTGCGCAACGAAAGGGATAGAACATAGGATTCGTGAAAACCCAACAAATGATGAAAACAAAACGTATAGACAAAGGGAACGAAAATCGAAAGAACATTTTCGACTGGAAAAAGTACAATGTTTTTAGTCAAATTGTTCAGAGTCAGTGCGAAAACACATCATAATTGTCCCTAAATAGAGGACAAAAATATTTTTCAAACAAAAGCGGTTAACCTGGGGAGTTGATGAAAGCAAAATCACGATTTCACAACATTTTGGAAAGAATCGATTCCAGTTAGATAAGGACATCCAAAAATAACCCAAAGAAGCGATAATTCGAAAAGGAAAAACGAAAAGCATATATCGATGAAAAAAAGAATGAGAAAAACAACAAAAATGAAAGAAATCAAGCGGATC